GCCTTCTCACCTGGGCTGCCCCCGTGCACAGAGGAGGGTGTGGGGGACCCCAGAGGGCTGTCCAGGTCCTGCACAGCCCCCATCAGCTGCTGCCGCACCAGGCACCCTGGCTTGTGCCCTCTCCCCGCCACTGGCAGCCTGGTCCTAGACTCCAGGGTGTCCTGTGAGGTCCCCGTCAGCCCAGCCGGGCACCTGATGCACAAGGGAGGAAGGGTCTGGAAGGGTCGCTCCTCTGCTCTGCCCTGGGCTCCGCATTCTGGGGAGAGATGCAGCATGGTGGAGGGTCCGGGTACCAGTGGCATGCCTGTGACTCTGGCATGTCCCCAGGCTGGTGGAGGAGATGATGCTGGCCCTTCTAGGGCCAGGAATATAGAGGACACATGCGGTGCTTGGGGCCTTGCCACAGGAACACCCAGCCCTAAAGAGCAAGGGGCAGTTCCAGCCTTGAATCCTGAAAATGCCCTTGAACCCCCTCCTTCGGATGTCCAGACTCTTGCCCTGGCTCTAGCTACCTTGTCCCTGCACCCTCCAACCCCAAGTGTGAGGGGCTTGGAGGGGGTGGGACAGGTCTCACTGCTCCATACGTCCATCTGTCCTCTGTCCTCTGCGGCCGCCTGGACAAAGCCTGGCCCCACGGCCAAAGCCCGACTGGGACTCCAGCCCAGGCATCCTGGGGAGCCCTCAGATACACAGAGCCTCAACTCGGGCTTGTGTGGCTTCCAGAGCAGCACAGCAGGGACGGTGGCCCTGGGCAGCCTGGAGACTCAGTGACCGCAGAGCACAGGGCCCCCGCCCAGGGTGGGGGGGGGCAGCTGCAATGCCTCTGTCCTAGGTCCTGGGCACCTTCGTGCCACCCGATCCAGGCCCCCATTGCTCCCCAGTCCTGGAGAAGGACTGAAATCTCAGATGGGGACTCTCGGGGACACCAGGGCAGCTCCGTGGGGGGCGAGGGGAAAGGGCACCCGCGATCCCTTCTTTTCAAGGGAACTTAGAATGTTTGGGACACTGTCTCAGGAATTGTGACCAGGTGCCCGCTGGTGCTGAAGATGAAGAGGCAGCCACAAGAGAGCGCATGGAGGGGGAAGATCAGCTACCGCAAGACGGAGCTCCAGCTCCAGGACCCCTCCCAGGTGGAGAAGGAGGTCCTCAAAGGTAGGAGGCCCCAGGGGTCTGCAGGTGCGGCTCGGGGGGCTGCTCCCTGGCCGTCCTGGCTCCTTCTCCGCCTCCTGGTCATCGGGCCTCTTCCTCCCAGGCTCTTCCGTGTGCTGGGCCTCCTGCCTTGCACACCGTCCCCTCCTCTGGGAAGTGCCCCCCCCCCCGCAGAACACCCCACCCCGTCTGGGCCACTGCTCTGCAGATTATTAAAGCGGATTCGGAACGTGGGGGGCTCATGTGACTGATGGCAAACACAGCCTTTCTCCGTGGCTTCCGGGCTCAGCTCCCTGGGAACCCCGTGTCTGCAGGCCTCAAACGGCTCTGCAGAGGGATCTCCTCCAGAACAGAGAAGTCCTCTCCTGGCTCCTGTGCGCACCCCCCGATGACCACCCCACCAGGCTGCTGGAGAGACAAGGGTCCTCCAGCCCAGAGGCTCCAGGACTCGCTTTCTGTTCCACGGTGGATCCGTGGCTAATTCCAAGAGGAGGAGGAGGAGGAAGGGAGGTGTTGGGGAGAGAGGCCACCCTGGGGGACAAGGCCAGGTGACGGGGGAGCATCGTCCTTATGTCTCCATGCTTCCCCTTGAGCCGGTGGCCAGTGACCTCTGTGTCCTTGTCCTTGGCATGTGTGTGTCCCTCAACATTTGCCATCGGTACCGCCCCTCCCCCTCCCCTAGACCGTCCAAGCTTCCTTTCGCTTCTGGATTGCCCTGGCCCTCATCTGGTCTGCAGCAGCGACTCTGCCTGGGGGCTTGTTGGCACTGCAGAGTCTCAGGGAGACACCCCAGACCTGCCCAGTCAGAATCTGGACTTGAACCAGGCTCCACAATGGGTTCCCCGCGCTCAGAGTGCAGGGCCAGCTACGTGACTCAGGCGCTCAGTGCAAAGTCAGACTGCAAGACCCCCCCGCCCCGTTCAAAATTACCAAGAATTACAAGACCGTGAAAGCAGATTAGTAAACCAGGAGAGGGGCCCCTCTGGATATGGGGACAGCGTAGGCCCCACGCACATGAAGCAGGTCCTGGCTCGGAGATGTATGCACGAGACACCGTAGTCGGTCCCTGTTCTGGTTGTGACGTGAACAGCCTGTGGGAAGACTGTTTTTTTCCAACTCACCTACAGGGGTGCTCCCAGGAAGGGACGAGATCCCCTTGGCATGTCTGGTGGACCCTGCCTGCCCGAGGGCATCTGGACATCACTGTGGGTGACAGGCAAGCGAGGTGCACGCACAGCCAGGCAGCTGGGCAGCTGGTGGAAGTGCAGGGGCGGGGGGCGGGGCGGGGGGCGGGGGGAACGGTCTCAGCTCCGCCCACATGTCCTCCTTCCGGCCTTGAGGTTTGCGCTGCGAAGCTCTCGTGGGGGTCCCCGGGGCCCACATCTGCACGTCTGTCCTTCCTCCTCACACCAGTCTTAGCCTGCGGATGTGATGGAGGCTCCCTGTCGATGGCACGGAGGGTCCGTCTTTACGGACACTTGGGTTTTCGTGACAATGTGCGCACCTTCCAACTTCGGACCCAGCCCGTCCGTCCATTGGCCACCCTCTAGGAGGACGGAGACCGTCCTGCCACATCAGCAGAGCTCGAGGCCAGTTCAAAAAGAAAAATTTCTTCTGTCTTTGAACCCTATTACCTCGGCAGAGATACATGGTGTCCTCAGGGCAGGCCGGCGAGCTTCCCCCAGAGTGAGCCACGCGAGAGCAAGTGGGCGGCGGTCACGGTGTGATTACTGGTGGTCACACACGGTCACTTCCGCCATCTCTGTCTTTAGACAGAGGTCCCTACACCCAGCCCCCCGCGCAAGGGGGCTCACCTTTTGGAGGGGAGAGTGTGGAAGAATTTGTGGACATATTTGAAGCCACTACAACACTCACTGGGAAGTATTAAAAAGCATAAAGAAAGAGAACAGAACCCATCCGTAATCCCACTGTGAGCATGTGGTTATGCTTCCCTCCAGGCTTTCGGAGGGTCTGTGTGTTCAACAGCCCCCCCGAGGGGCCTCAGAGACCACTCCTCAGGCCTCTGTGAAGTGTTTCTTGAGCACCAGGGGCTCTCGGAGGCTCCTACAACTGCTTTTCCTCAGATGGGTCGTTAATCTGGACCCTGGGTTTCCCCTCTCTCGGCCTCTACAGCCCAGAACACCATAGCTGGGAACGGAGTTAGCATCAGCCATGAGCTCATTAGTCTGGAGATCACCTCCCCTGAGGTTCCGGATCTGACCCTCATTGACCTTCCTGGCATCACCAGGGTACCTGTGGGAAACCAGCCCCAGGACATTGGACTGCAGGTGAGTTTTCTGGAACTTGGGAATGGGCCAAGCTGAAGATGGGGGGACTTCTAGGTCTCTGCGGGCAGCCCCAGGGGCTCTGGAGCGCCTCCCCTGCCCTCACTCTGAGTGGTTGGGGAGGAGACTGGGGGAGCAGTGCCCAGGGCACAGGGGGCAGAAGCTGTCACTCCCCGACGCTCTCCAGTGGCCCCACGTCCATCAGCGTGAAAGCTTCCAACGTCCAGTGTGCTCTGGCCCCACTAGCTCATTGGCCACATCTCTCACTGTGCTCCATTCCTCACCTGCGCCAGCCACACCCGAGTCCTCGACGGTCCTCGAGGACTCCAGCTTTTCACCTTCTCTTCCATCCCTCTGCCCAGATTTCCACATGGCACATTCCCCTACTTCCTCCAGAGCTCTCCCAAATGCCACCTTTTCCGGGATGCCCTCCCTGATGCCCAGTACCCCACACCTGATCCTTCCACTTCTATTTACCGTCCCTGTTGAGTGTCTGCGTTTCCTCCTGGGACAAAAACCCCCGAGGGACATTGCCTGTGTGTTCAGTGCTGAATCTCTAGATCCTGGAAAGGACCTACCACCTGGGGGTGCCCGTAATGTTTGTTGCATGAACTGAAGGTGAAGAAGTGTGTTTCCCATAGTGGTTCCTACCCCAAGCCTATTTTCCCCCCAGGGACGTCAGCAATGTCTGAGACATTTATGGATGTCACAACTTGGGAAAGAGGGGCTGCTACCAGCATCCAGTGGGTGGAGACCAGAGATGCAGCTGAATTTTCTATAATGCACCAGCTGGCCCTGCCCCCCGCCCCAGCAAAGAGCTGTCCATTCCAAATTGTCCCACGGTGCTGAGCTGGAGAACCCTGGGTGGTCTGTTCACTTACAGCAGAACAGGTGCTACACAAGGGTGTGGCAGAGCGGATAAAGACCGACAGGAGACATTTAACTTAAGGACAATTCACATTTAACGTGAATTTATGCTGTAACATTATCCCATAACGTGAGTTTATTCCATAAACTCGCTTACAGAAGTTGATTATAACTTTACTCAGTGAAATTTTCCCATGGCTAAGACCTAACTGGTCCTGTTTGTATTTATCATTTTTATTTGACCCCAGCACTTAATTGTTTATAGAATGCTAGGCTGCGCTTACGTGATGCAAATTTCCTGTTTGTGTCTATGCAGTATTATTTTCTGTGTGCAACTTAAAATAATTTTATGGGGCATCATGAGAGCAAAACTATGTGTGAATTGTACCAAAATATATATATATAAAAAAAAATATGTCCCTAGGTGCCAGACTTTTCCGTGTTGGTTTGTATTGTCCATGGGGAAAACTATTTCTGAAATTTGAAATTTAGGGCTTATGTTGCCCACATCTTTCTTTGCCTACAGATTCTAAGAAATTTTATTGGATTTCTCTAATCTGAGTGAGCTAGACCCCTCCCAAGAACAAACTCCAGAAAAAGACATTAGTATTAGGAATGAACACATGTAGAGATATTATTGACATCAGATACTATTGTAGCAGGCACTGAGCACCTGCCACTTTGGGGCCCCATGTGGGACTCGGCATGGAGATACCGAGCTGACACGTGAGAGGTCACAAAGGTGCCCCTGGGCGTCTGGGGCACATAGGACACATACACAAACACTGTAATAGAAGGCAGAATCTCAGAAGCATCACAGGAGAGATTTGGAGAAGAAGGAGAGGTCTAGTCTGGCTACAGGAACCAGAGTCTGCTGGAAAGAAGAAATACCAGCGGTGGGGTTTGAAGGGAAGTAGGAAATCAACAGAGAACCCAGAAAGGGCAGATGGGGCAGGCGTGTCCGAGGAAAGGGATTGGCCAAGTCAACGCCCAGAAGTTCGAAAACTGGGTCACGCTCTTGGAAATTGGCTTTCCGCAATCACACCTGTCCAGCTGGGCTGTTGGTTGACCAGAGATGTGCTCTTCCTTTGTGTGATTTTTTTTTTTTTTTTTGCATCAGATCAAGGCACTCATCAAGAAGTACATCCAGAAGCAACAGACGATCAACTTGGTGGTGGTCCCCTGCAACGTGGACATCGCCACCACAGAGGCGCTGAGCATGGCTCAGGAGGTGGACCCCGACGGCGACAGGACCATAGGTAAAAAGACAGAACCAAGCTTGCAGAGGATAGGAAGGAAGGGGGAGACTTCTTATATATTTAGAAGGTTCTGGAATGTAGCTCCATTAGAGACAAGTGCTACTCCCCGCAGAAGCTCCACGGGCTCAGGGCGCCTTCACACGCTGCAGATGGCAGTGTGTGACTGAGGGGACTCAGTCAGGGTGAGGGGTGTGGCCAGAATTTGGAGGTTCTTCATCCTCCTTCCTCTTGGCCCTCATTTGTGTTCACAATCCCTTCTGGATCGGGGGCAAGGACTGCCTTATCTGCTCTCCCACGATTATCTGGAAAGGAGAAAGTGACCGGCGCATCCGCCCTACCATTCCACAGGTAAAGGTCTTGGGATCTGCTGGTACATGGAAAGGGCCTTCATCAGGCCCCAGTGAACATTCTACCGGGCCGATGTTGGGGTGGGAGAGTCTGCAGCATTGGTATTCAAGCAGAAGTCTTCGTGGGGAGCCGGGTTCTCTTAAATTTCTTCTAAAAAAAAAAAAAAGTCACCCTGGGACTTGTTACAGGGAACTTGGTTTAAAAGCACACATGGTCTGGGTTTGAATCCTTGTTCTAGCGCTTACTGGCTACATAGCCTTGGGTAATACCTCTAACCTTTCCTGGCATCATTGTCTCCATCCACGAACTGGCATCACGGTCACACCCATGTGCTGGGTGGTTGGGAGGATTCATGAAGAAATATCATATAGAATGGTCCTTAGGGCTATGCATGTAGTATTTTCTCAGCAAATGAGAGCTGCTATTTTTTTATTAGTAATATCATCACTCAACATCACTTCGTCACCCATCATTCCACCTACCCAGAGAGTTGACCCTCCTGAAACTTTGCAGGTCATTTCCCTGACGAAATGCATACTCAGCATACAATTGCTTTTCCTGTTTCTTCCAAAATAAATGCCTGGTTTCCCAGTCAGGATAGAAATGAATATGAGGGGCATAGACGTCAAGCATAACGTTTCACTCTGTGCTAGATCACCCTCGTGCCCTGTTAGCTGTCGACTTCTGCAAGCATCACCAACACACTGACCCAGAGAGAACACTCAGGCTTTGGGTCACTGCTCGTTGTAGTTCCGTGCTCTTTGCCCTCCCTCGATCCCAAGTCAGGAAGGCTGTCTCACTGGTGACCACAGTAGGCGACATCATCTGTTTTGTAGGGTCAGCTATCTGGATATTAATATGTTTATAGAACGGGGGTGACCAGGAGTTAGTGGATGAGTACAGAGCTTCAGTTCTGCAAGATGAAGTGAATCCTCTTTGGGGGGGTGGGGGCGGTTCACAACCATGAGGATCCCGGATGCTGCTGAACCATCCACTTTAAAATGGCCAAAACAGTAACTTTTATGTGATGTAGATTTTACCACAATTTTTAAAGATACACGATTTTTAAAAACAGGATAACCGAAGATGGAGTGAAGGAGGAAACATCCTATTTTCATTAGTTGAATTATTCTCTTGCACACGCGAGTTATGTGTATTTTGCCACATTTTTTAAAAAAGAGAACTGAATGCCTACCTATACAGTACTTCCAAAGGATGAAAATAGAACAAGGCTGATGACTAATAGAGTAGTGGTTTACATAATACCAAGGTTCAGAGAGAACTGGGAGCCAGTACATTTGCAGGCTATCCGCGACACCGGTCTCCCCTCCCCCGCAACCACTAGATGCACACTGCCCACTCAGCCAGCCCCAGCGGGATTCCTGTCGCCACCAAGGTACAGAGATGCCATTTGGTAAGGTCGCCAATGCCCTCCATGCTGACACACACCTTCACTTCTCTGTCCCCATCTTTCTCCACCTCAGACCCTGTCCGGCGGCTGACCACTCCCTCCTTCTCGAACTCTCCTTCCTTTGCTGTAACACACAACCCGCTGGCTCCCGGGTCACCATCCGCGCTCCGTCTCCTCCTTCACTGGCCACTCGAGGTCACATTCTTAGTCTTGTCTGGTTGTTTCTTCCATTCTCTGACCCCTAAATGTCGGAAACTCAAAACTTGGTTCTGAGACCTCCCCTCTATCAACATGTGCTCTTTAGGCGAGCTTACTCTTTGATCTAAATTTGTAACCCTTACCTCTCCCTAGGCTTGACATCTCCACCTGGATGTCTATTAAATGTCTCCGATGTCATGCGACCAAAAGACAGCCCCTGATACCCCGCCCCACCTCAGTTCTCCTCCCTCCCACGGCTTCTCCGCCTCACTCACAGCACCGCACCTGCTTGCCCCACTCTAGAGCCAAATCTGAGAGTCACACGTCACTCCTCCTTCCCCTGCGTCCATGTCTAATTCATCTGGAATCCCGTGACTCTGTCTCCAAAACTGTACCAAGTCTGTCCACTCCTCTCCATCTCCACGCTCACCACTAGACCAGGCCCCCATCATCTCTTGCCTGGATGACTCAAATGTCCTCCGACTGGGTCTCCAGGCGCTCACCTTGCCCACTACAGCACACCCCCCACTGGCCTTTAAGCAGGTAAATAAAGTCAGGCCCCTCCTCTGCTTCTACCCTAACGTTCCCACCTTACAGACATAAACCCTGGACCCCTTTCCTGGACAACAAAGCCTTCTGTGACCTGGCTGCCTCTGCCTCTCTGATCGTGGTTCCCATCGCTTCTGCCTTGCCCACAACTCTCCAGCGTAGCTGTCATCCCCAGGGCCTGGAATGCTCTTCCTCCATCCTCACAGGGCTGGCTCCTTCCTCTCATTCAGATCTCAGCCCAACGCTGCCCTCCCAGAGGCCTTCTTTGTCCACCCAACCCAACACGGCACCATCCGCCCCTGCATGCACATGACTGGATTTTCATTTTCTGCCTAGCACTTCTCAATATCAGATACTTTTTCTTTATTGCTTGTATATTACTAGACTAATTTATCTGGCTTTTACCCACTAGAAGGTGAGGGGATTGTCACGAAATCAGGGACTTGGCAATCTTGTTCACCGCCATTTTCTCAATACCTAAAGCAGTGGGCTTAATAAGCATTTTTAAATTCAATATGAATATGTAATGTACTCAGGAAAGAGTTAATTTAAAAAGAAGAAACATTGTTGACAGTGCCCTTCTCCATGGCCCAAGAGTTGGGACACTGGATGATGCTCATGCACTGAGGCTGTCGATGGAGGCATGAGTATTTCCTACTGGATTCGTGGCTTCAGACTCAGGCACTGGGTGAGAAGGCACTCTCTTCCCAGCGAGGGAGAGTTCTCACTGCAAACCTCACTCCTTCTTCCTACTTTTTCTCAGACTACAGTTCAGTGATCTAGCCTTCCCTGGATGACTGCTGGCTCCAGGGAGGGGTCTTCATGGCTGTTGTCGTCCCTCCTGGTGCAGGGTCCTCTCCTTTGCCAGTGGAAGGTGCCGGCGTAGGTTCAGCGACCTGTCGGCTCCCTTAGTAACATGAAGATCTGCGCACACACAGACCTTTTATTGAGTATAAGGATACACTCTTTTTTTTTTTTAAAGATTTTATTTATTTATTTGAGAGAGAGAGAATGAGAGACAGAGAGCACGAGAGGGAAGAGGGTCAGAGGGAGAAGCAGACTCCCTGCTGAGCAGGGAGCCCGATGTGGGACTCGATTCTGGGACTCCAGGATCATGACCTGAGCCGAAGGCAGTCGCTTAACCAACTGAGCCACCCCGGTGCCCAGGATACACTCTTGATGACCACCATTGGTAATAAGAAAGTAGAACAGAGAGAAATTCAACTGCTTAGATGCCAGGAAAGTTTCAGGAAATGATAAGCCAGATGGTCAGACTGAACCACAAATTGTAAACAACCTGCAAAGAGAGTAGGAGATGACATTAGGTTTCCACCCTAAATAGACAGAAAGATGCAGTGGCTATCTGACACCCCAAGAACATGAGTGGAAATCGATACTCAGAATTCAAAGCGTTCCATCCAATCTAAGTGGGAGGCTGTGGGGGCAGCAGGGGGTGAGGGAGGGAGGGAGGATGCTGTCCAAGGAGGCCCCCACCCACAGGAAGAGGGCAGAGTGAGTCTGTGACGGGAGACACTAGAGGGGGACCCAGACCGTCCGTCCAGCAGGGAATGATCCGTTTCAGGGAACACGGTGGAGCCTGTCCTGACGATGCAGACATGTCTGTTCAATAAATTACACAAGGAAATGACTGAATTGAGTGAGTGGGAGAGCAAATAAAGACACGGATAAGAGGGGTGGCGACAGAATGTGTGAATGGGGTTTCAGGCCCTGCGCCACCAGAGCTCCAGAAGGCTTCCCAGGTCCTGGCCGAGGAAGGATCCCAGAGCCTAGCAGCATTCACGTGTATGTGAGGAGAAAACTGACTTTTTCCACTGTCCTTGGCTACTCCTCTCCCAGGAATCCTGACCAAACCAGATCTCGTGGACAAGGGTACCGAACACGTGGTCGTGAAAGTGGCGCAGAACCTCACGTACCGTCTGCAGAAGGGCTACATGATCGTGAGGTGCCGGGGGCAGGAGGAGATCACCAACAAGCTGAGCCTGGCCGAGGCAACCAAGAAAGAAACGATGTTCTTCCAAGCACATCCGTATTTCAGGTGAGATTCTTTAGGGCCGTCCCAGGACTACCCTCTGTGGAAGCCAGCCCTGCCTTCCAGAAGTGGCCAAGATGGTGGCCAAGTGATAGAGATCAATGTAGACCATGTCTGTGTTCACCCCGGGTCTGGGCGGGGCCCAAGAATGTGTGTTTCTATCACATTCCCGGTAGAGGTCAATGTTACCGGGGCAGGGACCACACTGTGAACACCACCACTCAAGGTCCTTGGGAAAGCAAAGTCTTGGACGAGAAAAGTGCATTGATGTGCTTTGTCGTCCTGCATCCGAGTGGAAATCCTTGAGGGCCCGTGGGCAGGGACTCATGTTGCATGAGAAACACTCAGAGCAGAGCTGGAATAATGGTCCTGTGGGATCCTTCCTGGATTCATGTACATAACACACACTCTGCAAACACTCTGCAGCCTGGTGTGTGGCCCTGGGCTAGCTACTGATCCTTGCTGTGCCTTTAAAATCAGTTATTCATGGATTCAACACGTTAGTATTTGTAAAACCCTTAGAACTGTGCCTGCCACTTAGTAAGCACCATTTGAAATTTTTTTTTAATTTAGTTTTATTGGGGTAAGAACACTTAACATGAGATCAGCCCTCTCAAGAAATGTTTAAGTGCACAATACCATCTTGTTAACTACAGGCACAAGGCTGACCAGCCACCTGTAGAACTTTTTCATCTTGCATAACTGAAATGTCACCCCTGTTGATTAGCAGGTCCCTATTTCCCGTCCCCCACACACCTGGCAACCACCACTCCACTCTCTGGTTCTGTGAGTTTGGCCAGTGTAGCCAGATCATGTAAGTGGGATCAGACAGTATCTGCTCTTCTGGGACTGGCTTATTTCACTCAGCGTAATGTCCTCAAGGTAGGACCCTACTTACCAGTTTTTGCTTTGGTTGCCTGTGCTTTTGGTGTCACATCCATGAAATCATTTTCAAGATCAATATCATGAATATTTTCCCGAATGTTTTCTTCTAAGAGTTTTCCCCCCCCCAAGGTTGATTTTATTTACTTACTTACTTACTTACTTACTTACTTACTTACTTACTTATTTATTTATTTATTTATTTGAGAGAGAGCACGAGAGGGGGGAGAAGCAGAGGGAAAGGGAGAAGCAGGCTCCACGCTCAGTGCAGAGCTTGGTGTGGGGCTCTTGATGTGGGGTCCCACAACTCTGAGATCAAGACTTGAGTGGAAATCAAGAGTCTGATGCTCAACCGACTGAGCCACCCAGGCGCCTCTTACAGTCAAGCTTTAATTAGACTTTTGTTTAATAGTGTAGGATATGGATCCAGTCGCATTATTTTGCACGTGGTTGTCCAGTTTTCCCATCATCATTCAGTGAAGAGACCACCCTTCCCCCATTGTATCCTCGACCCTCCGTCAAAGACCAGTTAACTGCATGTGCGTGGGTTTGTCTCTGGGCTCACCGTTCTGTTTTGTTGGTCTGTACGTCTGTGTTTATGCAAGCACCATGTTGTTTTAATTACTGTAGCTTTGTAGTATATATTTGAACTCAGGAAGTATAGTGCCTCCAGCTTTTTTTTCTTTATTAAGACTGATTTGGCTATTCGGAAATAATTATTTGTTACAAGAAATAAAATACTAGTTTGGGTAAGTCATTTATTCTCTATGAAGTTAAGTTTGTTTTGTTTTTCTGTAGGTAAAAAGACGACTTACCTCATGAGTTTATTGAGATAATAAATGAGAAAATAAATGTAACCTTTCTAGCACCCTGCTTGCTTGGGTTTGGGCTCACCCCATAATTAGCAACTGTCTTTCTATGCACTCCTTGGCTTTCTGATGGCCTGTGTCACCCTAGGGAGCTGACACTTAATAAAGCCCAGAATAGGAAAAATGATCGTATAGGTTGTCGAATAACCTTAGAAATAAAACAGTGAGTTCTTTTTCCAGCAAAAATGAATTTATTTGGGAAACACAGAGAATTGCAATCTGGGGTAAGCGAGTCATGGCAAAACCATAGGCAAGTCCAACAAATAAAGGAGAGGAACATTATTTTATGGAGAAGAAGGAGAAGTTGGGTTGTTTTGAACTCAGTCCATTGGAGAAAGACAAGCGTTCAGGGTGCTGACAGTTTTTCTTTGGCTGAATTGCAAGTGTGGTGGATTGCTTGTAGGAGAGACGGTGCACATCCTTTTTTGTGGGGCCCAAAGCTGATGATTCTCTCCTGTTGAGGAGGCTTCTGCTGGGTCGGGAATGGACACTTCTTAGACCACAGTATGGCATGGGAGCTCCCCCTTCTGGCCTCCTGCCTCCATTTCAGCGAGGTTTTCCTGACAGTATTGATAACCAGGGTCCTTTCTGAACGCCTGTGTGTTCTGTCTTGTCTCAGAGCTCTCCTGGAGGAAGGAAAGGCTACGGTGCCCTGTCTGGCAGAAAGACTGACCAATGAGCTCATCTTGCACATCAATGTGAGTCAACAGGTTGGGTTGCGAGTTGTAAAAATTACAGCCTACCCAAGTCCCTCCATCATGAGATGGCTGCGACACCCCCGAGCTGCCCATACAAGCCAGCAGACAAGCACGCTCTGAAAACCAAATCGCTCATGGTCAGAGGTTCCTAGCAGAGCTTCCAAAACCTGGAAGCAACAGCCGTGTAATGTTGAAGCAATTGCTGAATCCGTCAATTTGGGGGAAGCAACAAGGGAAGGAGGAACATGATAAGCCACTTTAGAAGGGTAAAAGGAATGAACAGGCACTTAGCAAATGTATCCTTTTGCAAGAGGTTAACGTTTTGTCGACCTTGAAAATGAAACAGTCAATTATTTTACCGGCCTGCCAGACAAAAGCAATGAATTCTTCCAAGCCAGGAAACACATACTCCAGGAACATTTGGTTGGAAGGGGCCAGTGGTTCTCAAACTGCACACAAGAGTCACTTGGAAAGCTTATTTAAATTCAGATTCCTGGGTCCCAATTCACGTTTCTGAGTCGGTAAATCTAGAGGGTAGGAGGCAATGAATTTGCACTTGTAACTTCCCAGGTGGTCCGGAAAACATACTTCCAGTGGAACCCCCTTGATTTGCACAAGAGGGCTCCAAAAGACATACCCCTGTCTAAAGGACACAGCCCCGTCTCATTGACAAAAACTTTGTTTTTGCAAAAAGACATTGCATTTTGATAACTATTTTTGATGATATATTTCTCAGCATTTAAATATTTTACATTAAAACTTTAGTTGTACATTTGTGGTATTCTAAGTTACTTTTTAAAATTCATAACAAGACCCTTATGATAATGATCACTTGAAACATCAGGAAAAAATTGAATACATTTCTGACCATAGATTCAAACTGCCTGAAAACAAAACAAAACCAAACAAAAGCCCCTGTGAGACCTTACTACTTCTGGTGTCGTCCGCCTTCGTCAGCATCTTACCCGGGCTTGGGATGCTAATCCACAAACTCCTTTAAGCCCCCACGCACTCCTCCTGCCTGGCTGCAGTGTTCCCATTCACCGAAGCAGACGCTGGGGCTGCTGGCCCCTCAGGCCTCACGTCCACCTGCGCGGGCTGGGGCGGGGGGGCGGGGGGCAGGACGTGCACTGGGACTCCACCACTTAATTCGCTTGGTGACAGGATCAGGCAATTTGCCTCTCTGAGCCTTAGGTTCCTCTCTCGTAAATCAAAGAGACAGTAACGCCATGTGCTTTGTCCTGCAGTGTGGGGCTTAACTGAGATGTGGGGGGTGCAGAACGGCATTTGGCCCAAAGACAGCCCTCTCCGTGGTGCCTCTCGATGTCCTTCCTTCCCCTCCCCTTCCTTAGCATCAGCACCGCTGATTGGTTAGGACTATACCCAGCCTGACGCCGATATCCAACACATACCCTCTACCGTAGCACCGTTTATCAGTTTGTAACACCCAAATGATCACCAACAGAACATTTTACTAAAGAAAGCTTACGTTACATTCAAGTGTACTTGTTCTCTAAAATTTTTTTTAAAGATTCTATTATTTTAAGTAAGCGGCAGGGAGGGGCACAGGGAGAGGGAGAGAGAATCCCAAGCCGATTCCCCACTGAGTGCAGAGGCGGGCCTGGGGCTCGAGCTCACAGCCCTGAGATCTCAACCTGAGCCGAAACCAAGAGTTGGATGCTTAATCAACTGAGCCACCCAGGTGCCCTTACTTGTTCTCTAAATACAGAGCACCAAGCCAAACCAAAACCTGGCCACCTCTTGATTCCGCCCCACTCCCACTCCAATGACATTAACAAAAGAGCAAATTTCTACACGAGGTCATTCAGGCCGTGGTGCACACCCATTGCATGCAAAGCCATCCTTGGGCTCTTTAACAGGTGTCCGTGTTAACAAGCTTCACACAATAATAGAGATTCTGGATCCCCTTGAAAGCTTTCACATGGGATTCCGCCCATGTATCTAAGAAACCTGTCAGCCAATTTCATCAAGCTGCAGAGTTTCATTGTTTGCTCTTATTTTGTTCAGAAATCACTCCCGTTGTTAGAAAAACAAATAAGGGAGAGCCACCAGAGGGCGACAGAGGAACTGCACCAGTGTGGAGACAACATCCCCAGCAATGAAGCGGATAGAATGTTCTTTCTGATCGAGGTGAGGATGACTGGGGATCCTTGGGACCCTCAGGCACCCAGATCCCTGTAGATGGCCACATCCTCCCTGGTGGCCCAGCACCTCTTTTTTTTTTTTAAAGATTTTATTTATTTATTTGAGAGAGAGAGAGAGAGAAACAGCTTGAGAGGGGAAAGGGTCAGAGGGAGAAGCAGGCTCCCCGCCGAGCCGGGAGCCTGATGTGGGACTCGATCCCACGAGTACGGGATCATGACCTGAGCCGAAGGCAGTCGCTTAACCAACTGAGCCACCCAGGCGCCCGGCCCAGCACCTCTTGAGATGGCCCCCACGCGTCCCTGCCCGTGGTGTGCCGGGAGCCCTGTTTTGCAGGGAGCTGCCCGCCGTTTGTCTCGCCTGGGAGATGGAGTGGTTGGGTGGCTGACCAGATTTCTGGCAGCCTCCCCCCTGCTGCCCAACACCACCCGCCGCAGCCCCAAGCAGGTCCCAGCTCTTTAATGTGATTACAGCGCTGATTGATGATTTTATCCCATTTTTCAGAAAATTAAGGTGTTTAATCAGGAAATTGAAAAGTTAATAGAGGGAGAAGAAGAAGTAAAGAAGAAAGATACCCGCTTATATAACAAAATCAGGGAGGAGTTTGAAAGCTGGCTACTTGTACTCACAGCCAATAACCAAAAAGGTAAGTCCTGGGACAAGTCTCCCCCTAAACATCTTGGGGTCATATTTACCAAGACGAGAGGCTACTTCTGGCTCAGAAGAAGTGTGCAAACAGCCGAACATGCCCACACAAGACACCACGGGGCCCCTTAGCAATGGATCACTGCTTCCCAGCCATCGATGCGGAGCCTTGCCCTCACCAAAAGACAATTCTACCACCTCCAGCTTTCTTCTTGCTTCTTTGTTTGGAGACTAGACAGTTCTACTTAACCTCATTTGTGTTCTTCTCTTCGCCCCTAACGCAAGGCTGCAGAGGTCAGTGGTTTGATAAGAATCTCCTTGCTGTGCCTGAGGAAGCTCCAGTTTCCCTTCTGCCGGAGCCCAGATGCCTGGAGTGCGTGTGTGTGTGTGTGTGTGTGTGTGTGTGTGTGTGTGTGTGTGTGTGTGTTGTATCTTTGTTTTGGCACTTGATACAAACAGCACTGTTCATGTCCATGGTAGGATTCCTTCAACTGTAGTCTGGATGTGTTCTTGGGAGATCTGTTAAGTGCCGTAATAATGTTTAAGTTTCTGTTTTTGTGGAACTAACCCAGTGCTTTCTACCAGTTACAAACACGAAGCTCGTCTCTCAGGGTGATGACTCTCAACTGAAACACGTTTCCATAGGATAACAATTTTGTTTCTTAAAAGTCAGTTTTCCTTAAACTGGCATTATCAGACCATAATTTTTTTTTTCATTATGAAAAAACTCCATTTAGAAATAGTGCCTTGGGGTACCGTGGGTGAGCAAGACCCCATAAAAAAAAAAGTTTCTATTTGTAAAATGTTTGTGGAATCATTAGACTTCACCATGGTGGTTTGTCTTATACTGCAGTTAAAAATATTATTCACGAAGAAGTCTCAATATATGAAAAGCAGTATCGCGGCAAAGAGCTTCTTGGATTTGTCAGCTACAAGACGTTCAAGACCATAGTGCACCAGTACATGGAACAGCTGATAGACCCCGCGCTCTCCATGCTGCACAAGGCTGTTGGTGAGGAGCTCTCCTAGTGCCTTGCACTTGGTCAGCCCAGCCCGGTACCTTCCACCTTCTGTAGGTCTCAGTGCCTTAGAGGGAGGGATCGGGGTGCAATTATCAAACCGAGCAGGAAGATCTCCTTTGACCGTTTTGGAGGGAAGACAAGAGTGCACAGGAGCGTGGCCTGGCTGTTCCTCCCCTCCACCCAACCATGCCGGGGTATAGCCAGGCCCTAGTCCCGGAGAGAACACACACTCCATGAAAGGACAGCAAGTGGGCAGGACCCGGGCAGGGTGGGGATGGCTCTGTGTCTCCGTGGGACAATGCACTGTCCCCTCCTTCTCTCTCGGTCTATAGATCTGCGGAGCTCAACATTGGAATGGGGTCCACGTAACATGATTTAACTTCCCTGTGTCTCTAACCTGTTTTATTCCTGCTTGCGATTTACGGATGCTTTGTTCTTTCTTTGGTCAGAAACTGTCTGGCAAACGTTTGCCGATGCAGCCCGGAGGCATTTTAGTGAGTTTTCCAACCTCAATCAAATGGCCCAGGTAAGCAGCCACAGTCTACTTGCCAGTCACCTGTCCTGCTGGCTATTTATCTGGGCCTAACCTTTGAGAGAAGTGGGATCTTTACTGTCGTTTCGAAATCCGAGGCCAAGGTTACAGCTGAGGGCTGGCTGGGCTGGTGGCGGCTAGTCTGCCCTCCCTGCGAGGGACGAACGAAGAGCCTGGCCGAGTCACCCTGTCTGGAGGAGCTTCCACCGCGCGGCAGGCTGGAGGCTCCGCGGTGATGCTCCGAACATAGCTGGTGACGGCCCGGTTCTTTGAATCTCTGTCTACTGCAAGGGACGGAATTGTCCACTAGTCCTACTCCAAAATCTTTCTAAGTGGGACTTAAAAATATTGTCGCAGCTATGTTGGTTTCCACTGAAACAGCTCTGATTTCCCTTCCAGTGATGGGAACCAGGGGTGTTCCTGGTTCCCCCCACCCCATCCCCAGGCTCTAGATAAAAAACCCTACTCTGCCCAAGCCTGGGCCAGTGGGTCTGAATCTCATTCCACAACTCAGGTGAGCAGGAAAGAGAATTTCTGCCATTTTCCCATAACAACCGAATGTCTGCTTTTAGCCCTTTGGCCAGTTGTCAAAAACTCAGTCCGACTTGTGACCTCTCCATCTCTCCCGAGGGCTGCGTCTGAGGCCTCGGGTGCCTCACCAGGGAGCGGGGGGACAGGCCAGGTCCTGGCTCACCGTTCCTCCAGCAGCCCGTCCTTCCCAGGCCCCGCTGGTTGGCCCCCCGCCCACCCCCATGCTCCTGACCCCAAGAAGGGGCTCTTCTCCAGCATGTCATCCCTTCCCTTCCCAGAACGCCTCGGACTGCGAGGGTGACGCAGAAGTCACGGGATTTCTGGGAAACAGAGATGTCAAGCTGTTACCCCACTGTGTTCACTGGTGCAGATTCATTCTCGAGTGCATGGATTCAAGCCGATTAGAGAGACCAGAGTGATGGACGTAGGAGCATAGAGTAGACCACGATCGAGGGGGCAGGCAGATGGTGACGTGGGAGCGAAGGGAGGTCGGGGCAGAGGGGAGGACCTGCAGCAGAGCAGTGGGCAGGACCCTGCAGGGTAGAGAGACAGGATGATGGCAGCGTGGGGTGCAGCGGGCCTCCTCAGAGTCGCCCTGTAAATTCGAGGCCTTCTTGGACCTGAAATTATGTTTAATACCATCCCAACATAATAGGACTTCCTGCGATGTTTAAAACAAGGGGGAGCCAAGAAGTCACGTGTTTTCTCTTTCTTATCCAACCAGAACAGGATTGAAGACATAAAAACGAGACAAGCAGAAACAGCAGAAAATCTGATCCGACTTCAGTTCAAAATGGAGCAGCTGGTTTATTGTCAAGACGAGATTTACAGCGTGGTTCTGAACCAAGTCCGGAAAGAGGTTTTTAACCCAGCAGGAAAGCCCTTGCAGAATCCTGAGTTGAAACTGTCATTCTCAAAAGATCAGTCTTCGGTGTCGTCCATCACTGAGATTGGGATGCACCTGAATGCGTATTTCTGGGTGAGCACATAGGTCGGTGGCGGGGGTACTGGCCCCGCAGACCCCAGGCGTTCTGATTGAAGCGGCTTCACCTGGGAAGGAGGGAGGGGCCGCCACTCGATATGAAGCCCCTTCTGCAGTGATAAATGCTCACATATTGTCTCATTTATGGTTATAACCCTGTTGTTACAACATATAGTTGTAACCCTGTCTAGGAACTTTTAACTAATTTGGGAATCAGGTTTTTAATGTGACAAAGCATGAATTCCACCTGCAAAGTTCTTTATATTTTATGCTATGCATGAATTAAAAAATTGCTGTTATCAGAATACAGCCAAATACAACAGGCATTAACTTTACTAGTTAGCATTTAGTTTTCCTTGATGTTCAGAAGGCATTCAGGACTCAAACGGCCTCAAATTCACCGGCTCCACAAAATAGGAACGAGAATTCCTTTCCCTAGATTCTGTGACCCGATCACCTCCAGAGTTTCCAAACCTCTGTCCACGGACAGAAATGTGGGGTGCATAGAAAAGAAAATAGCTTTTAACCTGCAAAGAAGCCCAACCTCCTGAAGCCTTTTTTTTTTTTTTAAGATTTATTTATTTATTTTAGAGAGAAAGAGAGAGCGAGCAAGAGCAGGGGGAGGAGCAGAAGGAGAGGGGGGGAGAGAGAGAGAGAGAGAGAGAGAAGCAGAAGCAGACTCCCCACTGAGCATGGAGCTCGATGCAGGGCTCGATCTCATGACCCTGAGATCATGACCTGAGCTGAAATCAAGAGCCAGACACTTAACCCCCCGAGCCCCCCAGGTGCACCTCCTGAAACCTTTTCTGAATCAGAATAGAAAGTAGTTACCCAGATGTGAGGTCCAGCTGCCAGGCAAACTTCTTCTTACCTATGCAGACAGGGAATGAGGTGGCCACTAAAGTAGGTCCCAATCTGCTCCCAGAACGGGCCAGGGGGTCGCAGGGCCCCGAGGACTCTCCGGGGAGGTGGAGTGGGGGTGGGGGTGCAGGAGGAGAGGGGCGGAGCTCCCAGGAAGGCTGGGATGTCCAGAAGTGTGCTATGGGTTTGCTAGCCTGCCAGGTGGGTTCTTAGTACCCCAGGGGACACCTGCCTGTTGTCGAACTCAGGCAGCCCAGATAGAACTTTCCCATAGCTCAGCGCTGACCACTGCAGTGGAGTGGATGGGACCACCGGGACCTATCAAGGCAATTACCCATGGATCCAAGAATCCCAAGGCTTTGCTGCAACCACAGGCCAAGGCCCCTCCAGCTGACCCTTCTTATCCCGTCTTCCAGGAGACCAGCAAACGTCTCGCCAACCAGATCCCATTCATAATTCAGTATTTCCTACTCCAAGAGTATGGCAGTTGCTTACAGAAAGCCATGATGCAGATACTACAGGAGAGAGAGCACTATTCCTGGCTGCTTCAGGAACAGGGCGACACCTCCGCCAAGAGGAGAGTCCTTAAGGAGAAGATCTACCGGCTGGCTCAGGCGCGGCGCGCTCTCTATAATTTCTGCAATTAAAGGGGGCGGGTCCACGGAGGGGCAACGATGCTTTTGGGTTTTCTCTTCTGTGCATTCACTGTAAGGGGATGCGAGAAGTGGCTTCACATTTGGAACCAGCTTTTTCTGTTGCCGCCTGTATCCACCTTTGCTGTCCTGCATTTGCACTCAGCACCAGACTTTGTATCTGAAGTCCACATGCACCCAGGGCTGTCACCTCCACCAGGAGGCCTTCTCTGATCTCCCCAAGGAGGTGGCTCTCCGGTCCTTGAGCCCCACAGCCCCCAGTTGTTGACTGTAGCCATGTTTCCAGCCCCCAGGGGAAACGAGCGTGAGCGATACCAATTTTAATGTGTACTGTTTCCCTGGCTGTGACGAGCTCCCGTTGCTACGTTAAGTCCTGAAGAGAAGTTTAATAAGGAAAAAAACATTTTTTAAAAGATTTTATTTATTTATCTGACACAGAGAGAGCCCAAGCAGGGGGAGCAGGAGAGGGAGAAGCAGGCTCCCCGCTGAGCAGGGAGCCCGATGCGGGGCTCGATCCCAGGACCCTGGGATCATGACCTGAGCTGAAGGCAGATGCTTAACTGACTGAGCCACCCAGGTGCCCCAGGAAAAGCATTTCTTTTTTAATGTAGAGGTTCACACCGGCGGCCATCTCTAGATTGGAGGATTACGCCTAATTTTATTTTCTTCGTCATGCTAAGCAATACCTACTTCAGAGGAATTTTAGGAGGGTTAAGTGAAACCATTTCTACAAAACAAACCTGTCCCAAAGCAGGTGTTCAAAAATGCCAACAATTCTTTCCTCTCCATCAAACACCTCTTTCTCCCTTACTCTCTAGGTCCGTAGAGCAGCCTTCCTTTCTAAAGCCCTACTAGCCAGCTCTAACACCCGTTCTTTGATACTCTGTGAGGCAGGTGTTACGTGGTGTCAGATGAGCCCAGCCTCATTGTTTTGCAGGGGCATGCCCAGTTTTCCCAGCACCATTTGTTGAAGAGACCATCCTTCCCCCATTGGTCTTGGCACCCCCATCAAAAATCATTTGGCCATATATGCAAGCACTTATTTCTTATTTCTAGTCCATTGGTCTGTGTCTGTCTTTAGGCCAGTACCACACTGTTTTGATAATGGTAACTTTGTAGTAAGTTCTGAAATAAAGAAGTGTGAGTCTTTAGCTCCCTTCTTCTTTTTCAGGATTGTTTTGCCAATTTCGGGGTAGCTTGAGATTCCACGTGAATCTTACGGTGGGTTTTTCTCTCTCTACAAAAAATGTCATTGGGATTTTGACAGGGATTGCATTGACTCTGGAGGTCACTTTGGGTGGTATTTGCATTTTAACAATATTCAGTCTTGCAATCCATGAACACTGGATGTCTTCCCATGTATTTATGTCTTCTTTAATGTCTTCGAGCAATGTTTTATAGTTTTCAGCATGGCTTTCATTTCCTTGATTAACTTAATCCCTAAGTAGTTTATTCTTTTTGATGCTGTTGCAAGTGGAACTGTTTTTCTTCATTTCTTTTTCAGATCGTTCATTGTTAGGGACCAGAAATGCAGCTGTCTTTCATGTGTTAATTTTGTGTCTTGGTACTCTTGAATTTGTTCATTAGTCCTAACAGGTTTTTGTTTTTCATTTTCGGGGGTTTTTTTGCTGAATATTTGTGGTTTTCCACATATAAAGTCATACAGTTTGTGAACAGAGATAATTGTACTTATTCCTTTCCAATTTGGATGCCTTTCGTTTCATTACCTTGCTGGATTCCTCTTCTGATAGTACCTTGAATAGAAGTGGCAAAAGCTGGGAACCTTGTAAAGTGTCCCGGATTTTGAGGAACCTTTGCAATATTGAAAGTGATGGTTGTGAAAAGAGCGTATGAAAGAGAAAACATTGGTCTTAGTTTTGGTGTCCTTTACTTTTCTTTTTTCTTTTGTAATTTGGACGTTCCTCCTCATTTTATGAGTTGCGTCACCTACACAAATAGCAGTGCTGAGAAGACCCACTGTCCCTGTTCCCTTTGTTGTCTTCTTAACCTTTAAAGTATAGATGCTGTTGTGAAAATAAAGTCTGAGAAAAATAAAGTCTGATATTTAATATTTGTTCCATTAATTGCATATTCAAAGCTTCCCCATTTCACACATAAGTGCAAGCACGCGTGCGGGCACACACACACACACACACACACACACACACACACACAACAGAGCCTCGGCCAGAGCTTCTCATTTGTTACCTCGGGACCGGCCCCAAGCCCAGGTGCCCACACCTAGGGAATGCGCTCAGGCCTGGCGTCCCCGAGTCCTGGGGCTGCTGCAGGGAAGTACCAGGAACTGGATGGCTTCACACAGAAGTCTGTTCTCTCACACTCTGGAGGCTTGAGGTCTGACGTCCACTGGAGCGGAGGGAGAAGGTGTCCAGGCCGCTCCCCCAGATGCGGGTGGTTGCAGCCATCCTGGGCGGTCCGGGCCTGGCGCCTGCAATGGCCGGTCTGTGCCCGGTCTTCATCGGCCTTCTCCGTCTCTCCCAGGCCCATGTCCTCCGCCTTTCTTTCTCTTTTCTAGACACCAGTCGTCAGGTTGAGTCAGGACGACCTCATCTCGGGATCCATAACTTAATGACATCTGCAGAGATGATACTAACAAATCAGGGCACGGTCGCAGGCTCCGGGGCTTAGCGCGGCACCTAGCTTCTGGGGACCACCCCGGGGCGCACGGCACCCGGCTTCCCAGCAGGGCGGAACACGGGGCTGAGAGCGGGCCAAGCACCCATCAGAAAAAGCCCACGGCTGCAACAGCACCCCCACATCTCCGCAGCTGAACACAACCAGAGGGTGCTCCCCGCTCACATCACCGACGTCCACGGCCAACTGGCAGGGTGCTGAGCCACACGGTCCCTGGGGCACCCCCATCGCCGGGGCCTTCGAGACCCCACCAGACCCTCTGTGTCTGACCGGCAGGTGAGAAAAGAGAGGGTGTAGGGCGTTTGCAGGGAGGTTTCCGGGAGCCGGGGTCCTGAGCGGTGTCGCTCACTTTCTCCCACGGTCATCGCAGGCGGGTCTCAGGCCTTGGGCCACGCCTAACTGCAAGGCAGGCTGGGAAATGTGGTCCAGCTGAGCGGACAGAGGGAAGGGGAGGCAGGATTTAGATGTTGCCACACCCGTCCCTACATCCACGGGGAACACTCCTTGAACAAAACACGGGAGTGAAGAAACAGACGTGTCCTCCGCTCTTCCTTCTTACGCCCGGGTCACTCACTCACGCACACACACGCGCACACACGCACACACACATGCACACGACGGTTTCCTCCTCCACGGCTACTGCGGGGCTGGGGTTTTGTTCCTAGCAAGTGCAGAAGGAAGCTATTCAGCCAGACTGTTGCAAGGTCAACCGCCATCACGGAGGGCTTGGCAGAGCCCCCGGGCGGGGAGAGGAGAGGCAAGGCTTCACAGTGGGAACCCCGGAGGCTCCCGAGCCGGGAGGGGGCTGTGGCCCGGGGAGGCCTGCAGGGCTAACTAGAGGCAGGCGTGCCACGGGACTGGTTAGGGGTCTATATTCGGCTTTCTCTGGTTGGTCCGAAATCAGGAATAGGGACAAAGAATTAGGGAATCTGTCAGTTATTAAGTAAACCCTAGTCATTTGGAGCTAATGGTCATGGAGATTACTGTCTAGCTTTCTGGACTGTCGGTAGAGAGCAGTGGGGCTTCCTACGGTCTGACTTACAACAGGCTGGCTACCTGGGCTGGTCGCTGCAGAGAACAGGTTGGTTTCCTGGGCAGGTGGCTGCAAGGGCTCTGTTCTTACAGATGGTCTGACCGCTGTGTGAGTACAGTCTCCCATAGCTTCCCTTACCCTGTGGGACCTTCCCTTCTCCCCTGCCCCTGGGTGCTGCCGAACAGCCCCTCGCCGGTCAGATCTGCTGTCATTGCCGTCTGGTGGGCGGCCGGGGCATGGAGCCACGCCCCCGTGTTTCTGCTACCCTGATATGGCTCAGGGGTGGCAGGTGCTCTTGTGGGGAGGGAGGTGTGTTCCCATCACTCAACGGTACAGTGATGAGACCAAAGGGTATTCATGAAAAGGTATCAACAAGTGGGATAAACAAATCCAGATTTCCCATCTTGTTTCTGCTCCGTGAGGCCCTACTGTGGCTTTTGTTGTGCGCAGTGACATGGCGTGTTGGTAATCTCTCATTACATAACAAATTATCCCAAGTTTTATCCCTGAAATTTCTTATCAGTTTCTTGAGATCAGGGATTCACATGCTCCTCAGCAGGTACCTCAGGTTCCCAGGGGGTGTCTCATGGAGCAGGCCCAGCTGCGGGCCAGGCACCTGCACTCTTAGCTGGAGGCTCAGCTTGGGGAGGATTCACTCCCGTGACGGGCTGAACAATGGCCCTAATCCCTGGTACCTGGGAGTGTGAACGAACATCTCTGCGCACAAGGGACTCCATGCTGAGGCTTCATTTTACTTTCTAACTAATGAGCTCTTGAACTGGGTCAGAATCCATAATTGTTTTACGAGCAGTTGCTCATAAAATCCAACAGGATGACTGGCATTTGACCACAAACTACTGATATGAACTTGACGAAGAGAGAAGAGTTAACGAACGCATACCAGGAATAGTTTTGTTTGAGGGCACTAAGAAAGAAATTGATTAGCTGGTAATCAAAAGTGGCTCAACTGGTTTGCACTGAATTCACGGGTTTGTTTGTTTGTTTAAGATTTTATTTATTTGACAGAGAGAGACAAAGTGAGAGAAGGAACACAAGCAGGGGGAGTGGGAGAGGGAGAAGCAGGCTTCCCACGGAGCAGGCTTTCCGCTGACCAGGACCCTGGGATCATGACCTGAGCCGAAGACACTTAACGACTGAGCCACCCAGGTGCCCCTCACGGGGTTTTTTTCTTCCTTACCTAAATCACGTGATTGCCTTATTCTTTCTCATAAAAACGCCCTGCTTTCCCTACTGGAGTGGGACACTTTTCTGGTTACTCTGGAATATGTGCTCCCAGAGTTGCAATTTGGAGGCCCCAAATTAAGGCCCTTGCTTTCTCCAAGTTTTGCCCTTCTTCCTCAGCTGGCAGCTACTTTATTTTTTTAAAAGATTTTATTTATTTATTTATTTATTTATTTATTTATTTATTTATTTATAGAGCTTGAGCAGGAGGAGGGGCAGAGGAAGGGGGAGAGAGGATCTCAAGTAGATGCCACACTGAGTGTAGAGCCCGACACGGGGCTCAATCTCACGACCCTGAGATCACAACCTGAGCTGAAATCAAGAGTCGGACCCTCAACCGACTGAGCCCCCCAGGCGCCCCGGGCGGCAGCTACTTTAAATGGAGAAAGGGTCTCTACGGGTCTGAGGAAGCTAAAGACCTCAAGATGGGGAGAGGAGCCCGGATTATCCAGGTGGGCCCCAGATGCCATCACAGGTGTCCTCAGGAGAGGGAGGGGGAGCAAGACCCAATGCAAAGAAGGAGCCGATCAGAAGACGCACCGTGCTGGCTTTGGAGAAGGAGGAAGGGGCCGTGAGCCAAGGCAAGCAAGGAATGCAGCTCTCAAGGCGCACAAGGCAAGGAGAAGCATTCTGGAGCATTCCAGTCTCTAGAGGGAGCGTGGCCCTGTCAACACTGTGACTTCAGCCCCGTGGGAAACGGACCTTGGACTTCTGGCCTCAGAACTGTAAGACAGTAAGTGTCTGTTGTTGTAAGCCACTGAGTTTGTGGCGATTTGTTACAGCAGCTGCAGGAAACCGATACGGCCCCCAAGCTCACTTGCCGGTCTGTGGAGAGGCCTCAGGCCCTTGGTGGCCATGGCCAAAGACATCAGTTCTTTGCCACGTCACATACTGGTACGTTAGCACAACATGGCAGCCCAAATGAAAGGTCTATAGAATTATCAGGATCAAGATGGCATTTTGTAAGTAGAATTGACTGGATTTTTCTTAAAGCTGCCCAAGTGAGTGTGATCGACAGGCAGTGTGGAAGTGCCTCTTCAGTGCAGAAGCCGGTTCCTGTCATGGTACCTGGAACACCGCAGACGTTTTAGAAATGTTTTTTGGAGCAATGAGTGATGACTGGCGGGTGCTTGCAAAGGCAACACAGAGAACAGGATGGCTACCGAAAATGTGGACAGGAGTCGCCATTTCTCACTAGCTGTGTGATTTGGGGCAAAGGAGTCCACTTCTCCGAGCCTTCACTTCCTATTTGACTGATTCTTGCTCTATTGGAGATGGCGTGTAAAGAAATTGGCCCAGTACCTGACAGGGCTAATATGGCATGGATGCTCCACAGCCAAGGGATGGCATTTTTAATAGAGATACTGTGTGGGGGTCACATCGTTTCTCGGCCTTTCGGCTAAGATCAAGTGTGTGGGGGTCTCTCCACTTCCTACACTCTATATGGGCTGCCCAAGCAAGCATCCCACTTTCTATAGTATGAAATACTGAGCCCAGTCGCAGGCAGAGGAGGAATGAAGCGGCCTGGGTTGCAATCTGAGAATTGGTGGAAAGAACAGATTGCTCCCAGTTTCCAGAGGCCCTTTGGGAAAGGTCCTGGGAAGGCAGGTCACGGTGCTACTGCCTCCCTTATCGGAAAAAGAAGCTTTCACACAGTGCCTGGCGAATCCCCTGAAAATGCAGATTGATTCAGTGGTCTGGGGGTGGCCCTAGACCCGGTAGTTCTTACAAGCTTCCAGGGGAAGCCAATGCTGCCGGCTCCTCCTTCGAGAAGCACGAATCCATGGCGCGGGTCTACGGAGGAGAAAACAAAACGGGGCAAAGAACACTCACGCTCCGGGCAGCAGAGAAAGGCCGCTGCGCGGGGGCGCACTGCTCGGCCCTTCGGCCCCGACGGCGTCAGACGCCCCGCGAGCGCCGCCCCCCCCCCCGAGACCTCACCCCCTCTCCACCCCCGCCCCCTCCCCCTCCCGGACACCCGCAGAACCGCGTCCAGGCCGAGCTGGACATCCGAGCGGAGCCCCGGCCAGCGAGCCTCCACCCGCGCCGTCCCTCTTCCTCCCGGGACGGCTCCCTCCTCTGGCTCCGCCCCCTCCTCCCCGCCCCCTCCGCCCCCGCCCCCGCAGGACGGCGTC